AGCTGCAAAAAGCGATGGCACATCAAATACATACGAGGACGAAGAAAAGGCAGAGGAAGCACGCATTGCTCTATATGAGCTTCGGGCTAAAAAGCGTCGCGAGCTGGAAGCAGCGAGGACTCGAGCAGCTAAAAATGTGCGTCTTTAATTACTCGCGGTTTTGTTATCTCTTGGCTAAATCTGAATTACCCTCCCTCCCGCTAAAATTCTACTTCTTCAGGCATCTGATTCACAACCGACCTTCGAGCAAGAAAGTGACTGGACTTTTGTTCCGGCTTCGACTGACACTACTGATGGTCTTAGCGAAGAAAAGTCAAGTACCGCTGCCAAAGGGAAGGGAAACCCTGGTGCAGCAACAGGAAAGGAAAGCACTGACGTACCAACAAGAAAGGATAGCCCTGGCACAAAGAATGGTTGGTTTCCAGTTTTTGAGTTCTGGTATCGAGCGGTTAAAAATTTTGCTCTATTCAGATTTTGAGTCAGTTTCAACTGAGACTTGCGTTGAAATACTTTTATGACACGTTTAATTATGTAAACCGATAACAGCCCATGTTGTTAATCTAACGTTGCAACATTCAGAAGCGAAAGTCGCTGTCAGGGATGACGACGCTCAGAAATTCGACAGTGTTACATATGATTCCAGCGCTGAAGGCAAAAAAGGTAAGCGCATTTCTTTTTGCATTTCCATCCTAGTTCGGGGTGATTAATGCATCACGCATCACTACCATTTCTTTGAAATACTGTTTTTGTAGTTCTTAGATGGCAAAAAACATGTTAATCATCTTCGAGCGTTTTAGTGAAGAAAGGGAAGAAGCGAAAGCAAGAAGAATCTATTCACAAGGACTGCACTACGAAAGACATTGATGAGTTGTTTGAAGCTGCAGAAGAAAAAGTCATGAACGACTTGAAAGAGGTACATAGTAACTTGGAACTTTTCGAAGATTCGCATATACTACGTTTATAGATTGCTAAGAAGATTCGCGATGAAGAAGAGGAAGCAGAAACAAAGAAAACAAAAGGTAGAAAAAAGAAAAAGAAGCCTTCAAAGTCAACAGAAGAGGAAGAAAAGAAGGATGAAGCTGTTGATATCTCTCTGGATCCCAAAAACTTCTTGCAGGTATTCAAAAGTCGTTGTTATCCTAGTCAGCCTGCGAACCCTTACGTTTAGGTTGAAACAACAAATCTATCCAAGGTTTCGTCAG